ACATTCGGGCATTTTAATGGTAAGTTACAACTTTTTTTTTGTCTCTAAATACTTTTAAAAAAAGGTATGTTTTCTCCCTGTATATACATTAAAAAAAAAGAAAAGCAAAGTGGAAAGCAGAATTAGAAGTTTCTCTTTTTAATTAGAAATGTGAATTTTTTTCACCTGCCTTAAATCTCCCAAATATTTTTTTTGTGCTACTATTAATCTGCTCCTGAAAGAATTAGAAATTAAAAATAAACCTCTATCAATAATCATACTCTACTTAAATATCACTATTTCAGAAATAACTTAGGAGGCTCATTTGGAACTTCAGACAACAAATTAGATTTCTTTGAAATTGTTTTGTTCATGCTGTCGTTAGAGAAGGAATTGTAGACATTTTGTTTTGAAATGGATTTTAAGCTTTTTAAACAGTATGTTGACTTGAGAAAAGTGAACGATTTGGAGTTGCTATGTATTTACATTCTAAGAGTCCTGTGTTTAGCTTCTGCGTCTTTTTTTTTTCCTTGTATTTCTTTCAATGATTTGGTCAATTTGGAGCAATGAACTGCATCGTGTAAGGTAGAGAACTACATACAATGAAGTGTCAATGGGATTTACCTACTGCAGAAGCAGAAATGCTGCTTCTGTGAGTGTCACAAGAAATTGATACAGAATATACTGGATTCATAGTATTTGGCTGAGAGTAACCCAAATGCCTGTCTGAAATGATGGATTTATTGAATACTGTTTTTTCATAGAAATTGTAATGGTTGCTGCCCATGACTTTGACCATTATTTTCAAATGAAATGATAGAATGCTCTGAGCTGTCTAATTCTTTCTGTTTGGCTGTAATCCACACGATGGACATGCCTCCAAGCCATGCACAGCACTGTACTGTCCATCATAATACACTCCAGTGACCTCAGCTGCCAGTTTTTCTCAAAAAAGCACAAGGTCATCTTCAATTTAGAATTCAAGTGGCAACTTCTTTTGCTTTGTTCGTGCAACATGAGACAAAATTTGGTTTACATTCAACACAGAGCATTCTCTTCTTTAGTAGAATTTTCATGAAGCATTATATAACATTAATCTTTTTGTTAAGAACCTAAGTACTACTGGAAATTTGAAAATCGTTTTCTTGCAATTATCAAATTGAGCAAAAGAGGAGTGTTACAAGTTTATTTATCCTGTTGTGAGATTGAAGAACATTTTATTTATCTAAATTGTTAGAAGGTAGGAAGAGGAATACAAATGAATGTGTTTTTTCAACAACCAAAGCTTACCTCCAGAAAATAAGGAAATCTTTCAAAGAAACTCTAAAGTATTTTAAAGGTGAATTACCAATTTCTCTTTTATTTTAACCATAGATAAAATCTTAACCCTTCCTTGATGACTTCAGTTATAACACCACACTATAATATAATGATGCTATTAAAGACTATTAAAAATGTCTTAATGTCTAATGATTAAGATAATTTGCCTCTAAACTCCAATGGTTTCTGTCCAATTTTTATAGTTTTTGCCCTTGTGCATTATCAGACTAATGTTACTGTGATTTTCTTAGGTCTGGCCCCTTCCATATATGCTTCTTTTAATCCACCATGGACAGAGAAGCACACATAAAATTTCATTTAGTCATGAGATATTGTTTGAACACATAGAAAGTGTTAAGCATTGTGATAGGTGCTAAAGGTACATTACTGTGGTAAAAACAGTTAAAGCAGATATGAGATTTAGGGTTCTTTGGGGAACTGAGACATTAATAAAATAAAGTATAATTATATAATTTGTAATGAGTCCTGGAAGAAGAGGTATACTGGACTAAGGGTTTATAATAGGGGAACGTCGCTACTCTAGGGCATGAGGAAGGAGATGAGTGACAGAGATAAGGGTGAAGTAGTAGTCAGGGCCAGGTAGATCATGAGAGGTCATGTGGTCATTCTCAAGATTTGTTCTTCATCCTGAAAGCAACAGAAATTCACTGAAGCATGATAGAACTATATCTGATACAAGAATAAGTATACTCCAGGTGAGGATCATGTCAAATTTATAAATTTTAATGTATGAACTCAGAATCTCTTTAAGCTCCTCAGATATTTCTTTTGTTAATAGTTTGAAACTTGGTTGTGTTCCAGTATCTGATGATATAGAGTAAGAGACTAATTTAATTTTCAGTAGTTTTCAGGATGTTCATCAATTTTTTAATTTTATTATTGGCTTATCAATTACTGTTCATTTATTATTAATATCTTGCCTGTTCGTGATGAAAAGACACTAAGGCTCTTCAAAAAGAAGTACACCACCAAAACCATTGAAGGAGGATGAAACAAATATGGTAGCCAAAATGAAGAACTATATTAAATTCCAAGTTTCCTAAGCAGCCAAAATGTAAAGGGATATTTAATGGGATACCTAGGTTTCATTATATGACAGAAGCAAGCCTACCTATTTTTCAAGAATGAATTTTCTTGGAAGTTATTTCTGAAAGAAATGTATCATACAGGACTTTTATAGCAATGCTATTTAACAAAATATTACAAAAAGCGGAAGCTTTCTCTTAGGCTGTTTTGCATGTAGACCAGCAATCAAAGCTAAGACTGTAATGCTTGTAACACTGAAGGATATTTCATTTAAAGGATTTTCAGAGAGGGAGATCATCTGCCTTGATCTAGATTTAGGAATCTTTTGAGCTCTGATGTCATGGAGGTTACCATACTCTGTTAAGAATAAATGAAGCATATCTCTCTGCTTTTCAAATTCTTTCTTCAAAAGAATTCTGCTTATAAATCTAATATTTCAGTGAATTAAAATAAGAACTGCTAGGTTAAAGAGGTGCCCATAATCTTGGATACTTCACTTCCCCTGGTGCTACTTGCTGGTCCTAGAGGTGACTTGAAAGGTCCCAATAGCTATACGAAGCACACATCAAATTCACAGATTTAAATATCTTTGTTCTTTGCAGGGCTTTCACAGGAAAAAAATAGACATCTGGAATTTGTATTTTCTGTTAAAAACATAGCAATTATATGTAATTAATTGCATGCTAGTTGAGCAGATTGTGTTGGTGATGGCCAGAGTTCTCACTTAGTGAGACAACCAAGCCAACCCCTTCCCAAAGACTGGAAGTGTGAGAGGGCCATTGGCCAAACCATGGTTTCCTTAGGACCAGTTTTTAATCTCCTGAGTTGTCGAGAATGTGCTCAACTAGACGCAGAATTGCTCACTATAGACGATAAGAAAAATTATTGTATACAAAAAATTTTCTTCACATAGCTATTACCAGTTGTCAAAGAATGAGCTTTGTAAGGCAACTTTTAACTCATACAGTGTAGCCTGCCAGAGTTTCTGTCAGGATTAGTGAACTACAAAATGCACTCTCAAGTAATTAAAAAATTTGACCCATTGGATGGAATTATTTAGTAATGCCCATTTAAATATTAGATGTGTCTGCTGTAAGGTGTAATTTCTGTGTAGAAAAAATTGTTGTTAAACTAGTTTTTTTCTGACATTAATGAGATATCAGAACAAATTGCTTTCTATGGTCTTTTTTAGTTTGAGATAGTAAAACCATGTCGTTGGTGTGGATGGGGACTCTTGTTCCAGTTTATAAAAGCAGGAGGTGAAGCAGTCAGAGCAGCTGCATGTCACACAGACTGTAGGTATAAAATTAAAAAGAACCGTTTAAAACTCAGTCTTGCTGAGATCACAACCTAATTAAGCAATGGTTTAAAGATATTTGGTTTAAAAGGTCATGCTTCTAGTTTATTGTTTAATCGACAACATAGAGATTATATTAGAATTTAGAATGATGAATGATTAGTGTATTGGATCAGAATTATTCTATAACAAAACTAGTTAAAGGTAAAACACTTAGTCAAACGATTAAACTACAAAATACTATTTGGTATCATCGATGTAAATGACAATGGTGTTTTGACTGAATTTATTCACTCAAACTGATATTTTCTCATAAGTGGAAAAATTTACCTGAACCATATTCTGCATGTGTATTTTGAGCACATTCTGAATCATAGCATATCAGCATTATTCATGTGTTATTTATACCTTTTCTCAACCTCTCTTCTCTACTTGGGGAGACAGAAGGAAACAAAGATTTGCCTTTTAGGATTACTTTTATTGCTACCATTTGAATAAAATACTATTTCTATAAATTTTTTAAATTAAAAGATTTATCAACAGAAAAAGAAAATAAAGAAGAAGAATTCAGATTTTTCAGGAACATAAGCAACGATGTCTATTTCTTACTCTGGCCTGGTCTATAGGCAATCAAATATTAATACCATACATCTTGTATGAAATCAAAGATTTTCTGCTGCCATGAGAACCTTATTTATCATAAAGAAGAACATATTGAATAGAATTTGAGAAAGCTCTCCCCATTTCTCTCTATAATTGAGCTCACGTCAGGGGCAGGACAGTCACCACAGCATACTAATTAGGATTGTTTGATTGTAGATAACAGAAACTAACTTAAGCTTGCTTAGGCTAAAGGAAGAATTTATGAGGTTGTGTCAAGAAACCCCATAGCAGACTATAAAAGGGTTTAAGAAAAGAACTGGTTATAATAACTAAAAACCTGTCAGATGTTCAAAGATATCTCTGTCCGTCTGCTTTGTTTGGTTCTTTTTGTATTGGTTTTCTATAATTCTAGGCTCACAGGGTAGTAGCAGCAGGCCATCTACAGTATTTAGCTACTGTTTGTTCAAGACACCTGCTAAGATTAACATATATTTTTTTAAGCTCCTATTCCAACTTCTTGGAAACTTTAATCTTATTAGCCAAACTTAGGTTGGATGTCTACCTCATCCAAATTATCAGTGGCAAGGAGCAAGTAGTACAAACTTAGCTGTCATGGAGCACACCATGTGGCTGAAAGAGGCATTTAGGCAGTTTCTATAAGTGACTTATGGAGAAAGTTTAAACAAAGTGAGCAAAAAGGTAAAACCTGAGAGAAGTGTGAAGCCACAGTC